TTCCAAAAAAGCGACTAACAAACACAATCTGATGGCGCACCCATCTCTATGTGGCCACAACATCTGCATCGTTCGACGAGGACGCCGAGCTAACAAAGATAGCTGAATCCTGCTTCAGCTCCAGCAATTTCGAGCAGCTAGCAGGCTACATCGTTCGGCATGCCATAGCGCGAATACTTGGCAATGTATTGATCCGAGAGAGTGTGGTAATCATAGGTCTAACAGAGTTACGTAAGACGCTGAATCTTGAGCCACTGCCTCCGTGGCAACATTTTAACAACACGGATCCCAGTGACAGCGATCTCACATCTCCGCCTACCATTCAGGCCTATTGCGATCTTAAAGAACCGCGCTCCGTAATGAGAAGCCTTGATAGTGACTACTTGTATGAGCAAAATGTTAAAAGGCAATGTCTGAGAACCTCGAAATTCGCCAATTACACCAGGTCACTAAAAATTCAGAGTGCTTCAATTTGTCCCATATCATACCCAATGGGTACTTATGTACATAACAGTAATACAGGGTGGTCCACCGTTACCCGGCATTTAATTCGGAGGGTACAAAAATTAGGGGGTACAACAGGGTACAAATGGTTTTGGGGTACAACTTTCATGGTTTTGGGGTACAAAAAGTCGAGGGTACAAAATGTTCGATTCTGGGGTACAAAAATTTACCGATTCAGTAAGCATTGATTAAGGGGTACAACTGTTATGATTTAAGGGTACAAATTTCACAATTTTGGGGTACAAAAGTTGCACGAAGCACATTTTCGAAGTTTTCATACAAGTTTTGAATTTTTGAGAGCTCACGAGACACAGTCGTGTGTAGCCATGCTTTGTTTTATGCAGTATTTTGTGTCATTTCGAGAAACAATCTTTACTTGGGTAAATTTCACACACAACATCAGATGCTGAAATTCTGCTGTGAAATTGCAGAATTTAAAGTGGCCAAAACAGCAAAACAACTTGTAAGTAATATTATAGGGGCACCGAATAGAAAGGGCGCTCTGTTCCCAATCTCGCCGAATTTCTAGGCCGCGAAGTAATTTTCCACTGAAAATGTGGCCTAACTTTTCAAACTCGGCCCCGAGCTCACTCAATTTGCACTGCAAAAAAGTTTCTCATTAGAGCGCCCTTTCTGTTCGGTGCCCCTATAATAACAAAGAATCAACCTAGACTAAAAAAAAACAAAAATGAGCGCAGAAATGAACAAGGATAAATAAAGAAAAGAGATCAAATAGAAGTAGTAGAATATAGAATATAGAAGAGAGATTAAATTAGAGAACACTAGAAAACAAAACAATGAAAATATTAGAAACTCTTCGTGCGCATCAAGACGGACTGAACGATCTTTTTCACTGAATTGATGCCCATGAAAAAATGGGAAAAAAATTGTTGTACCCCAAAATCGTGAAATTTGTACCCTTAAATCATAAAAGTTGTACCCCTTAATCAATGCCTACTGAATCGGTAAATTTTTGTACCCTAGAATCGAAAATTTTGTACCCTCGACTTTTTGTACCCCAAAACAATTTGTACCCTCTTGTACCCCCTAATTTTTGTACCCTCCGAATTAAATGCCCCGTTACCCGTACAAAAGTTTTACGCGGCGCGCGTAGGTACTGACGCAATTCTGGTGTGGCCCTAATTCAAAATTTTGTATATTATCATGTTCTTAACTATTTGGCCAAGTCTCAGACCAAACGGATTTGTTTCAGCCGAATATCACCGATTAGTCTGCACCCCGTACCCATAGTACGCTTTTTTACTGAGGGGTGAGCAGACAAACCATCATGAAATGTGATGTGGAAATGAGTCCAATATCCGTGTAAATCACTCTAAAATGCAAGCTGAGTCCGTGCCATGATTTCTTGTCCCATCAGCTGAACATGCCAATCTCAACGCGTTTTCATCGATTATGGTGACAAAATCAGAAAAGTACGTTATGTAGATGAAACGTCAACAAAGAAACTTGTTCTTCGGTCTCACAAATACTTTGGAGAACAACATTGGGTGTTAGATTAGGATAATACGCCTGCTCACACGGCCAAGATCATTTAGCAGTGGTTCCAGGCCAATTTGGCAGCGTTCATCAAGAAGGAAAAATGGTCCGATTTCTCGCCGGACTATTTTTTGTTGGACTATTCGTTGTTGGGGTTTTACAGGCCAATATGAAGGCTAAAGCCTAGACAAGTAGGGGAGTGATAAAAAATTCCTTGCCAGGTAGGGGGTCAATTTGTTCACGGACTTCCCGCGTGCCGCGGCAAACGGTTACTTCGGAAGTCTTCGGGCTGTCATTGTTAGGAAAGGAGGTCGGGTGCAACACTGTTAGCTTATAAATATGGTTAAACACCTTAATGAACATTTTGTTAAGTCTCATGTCTTTCTGACTTCTAGTTTTGGAATTACACAACTTTTATTTTGTACGGGTAACGGTGGACCACCCTGTACATCAGACAAGTTTTGGTCCGGCTTCGTGGTCCCTAGTCCGATCACGATCCCAAAATAGGTCAAACCTGTAACTAATTTCAAAAAAATGCTAGCGTCTCAGACTCAACGCCATTCGATTGCTCGCATCTTTTTAAGCATTTTTTATGTTGGGACCAAAAATTTAGCACCCCTCCTTTATGGAGAAAAATTTTGTTTTGTGAGATCGTTCAGAAAATTTTTCAGTTTTCTGCTCGGCTTGAAAAATTTTAACACTACATAGCCATGATTTTATTGCTGATTCTGAATCTAGAATCGAATCTAATTTTCGGTACATCCCGAGTTACGCCCATTCAAAGTTGGCCTGTTTTCTCCCCGGTCGGCGGCAGAGGAGGGGGCGGAGTCTCGCCTGCAAGTCCGCCGCACGCGTTTTTCGCCTCTGTTTGGTGGCCGAAACCAAAGAGGCAACATATAAATTGAAGAAAAATGATGTTCTAAAAAAGCAAAACATCTTTAAAGGTCAAAAGTTTCGAACCCGACACCTCCAGACTGCCGAGTGAGCACTCTGCCACTGCGCCAAACGGGTGGGGGCGCGCCGACCACCAATGGCAATGAGAAGGTCGGTTTGCGCGGCCCCCTTCCAGGTGTGACATCAGTGGTTTTGCACATACAAATCCAAAACTGTAACTGTTTACAGTCACTAAAATGGTTTTTATTTATTCATTCACGTCCATCTATCGGTTATATTCACCACAAAATTTATTCTCCTCTCGGACTATACGTGATGTTTTTTAGGCCACGGGAAAGTCGACAAATTGTCGACAGTTTATCGACTATCGACACTGAGCGATTGTCGACTATCGACAATGAGCGATTGTCGACAAAAAATATTTTGTCGACTATCGAGATTCTGTCGACAAGTAAATGGCATTTAATTCCGAGGGTACAACATTTTTTTGGGGCACAACAGGGTACAACCTATTTTAGGGTACAACTTTTTTAATTTTGGGGTACAACTTCCCCGATTTTAGGGAATAATTTCTGTCAAGTATTTTAGGGTACAATAATTTTAGGGTACAACACTTTTAGGGCACAACTAGCACATAATTTCAGGGCACAACTTCTTACAATTTTGGGGCACAACAACATGATTTTAGGGTACAACACTTTTTTTCTCATTTTTATGTATTTTCTTGCATTTTACTACAAACCCATATTCTTTTTTTATATAAATATTTCGCTGATTTTTATTTCAATGACTCATCTCTTGTAAGAGAACCAGTCTTTCGACTCGTGCTTTCTGCGGCAGTTCACACATTTTGTTTTCACCAAATAGTGAGGTTATTCAAAACCTTTTTATTGCAAAAAAAGCATATGACAGTAACAAGTTGAGCACAAATGAACGGATCTGAAATAACGAGTAGTAGTAAAATGCAAGAAAAATACAAAAAAATGAGAAAAAAAAGTGTTGTACCCTAAAATCATGTTGTTGTGCCCCAAAATTGTAAGAAGTTGTGCCCTGAAATTATGTGCTAGTTGTGCCCTAAAAGTGTTGTACCCTAAAATTATTGTACCCTAAAATACTTGACAGAAATTATTCCCTAAAATCGGGGAAGTTGTACCCCAAAATTAAAAAAGTTGTACCCCAAAATAGGTTGTACCCTGTTGTGCCCCAAAATTGTTGTACCCTCGGAATTAAATGCCCAAGTAAATTGGGCAAGTGTTGTCGATAGATAATTTGTCGACAGTCCGCGCATTTTTTGTCGATCGACATTACTTTTGTCGATACTGTCGACATAAATTTCCTCGACTTTTATCGACTTTTCGACAAACTCTCATGTCGACCCGTCACTCTATCAACAACTAAAAAAAGAACTTTGCGCGTAACATAAAATGCACTGTGAAATGCATACCATTTGGCCGCGTATGTTGCGAAAGCCGCGCCGTGCTGAATAACTCCATTACACCGGCGCGTAATTTAGTATTCGCGGCTGGGCCCAGCTGGGGAAATTAAAAAATGTTCCACTATCTGCCAAAATTCTTCAAAACTCAATAAAAATAACTAAAGATTACAAATTTATTTTTCATCTAAAAAGCAAGTGTACGATTGGACACATCCAGAAGTAATTGCTTAGCAAAGAGTACAGACGCAATCTCCAGTGACGCAGGTGGCAACTTTGCAGTTCTATAAAGTTTGAACTATTTCTGGAATAGAGGAATAGTTTAACATACTCTGCAAGTGATGGATTTGCAGATGGAATCCGAGAAGTAGCACGAGAAGTCAGCGCTGACCATCTCCATGACTGCGATCAAGAACAGAACAACCAAAATGTACTTCAGCATTCTGTAAAATAAAGTGGTGGGAGACGATTACATTCAACAATAGGAAGGCTTCAAAATGAGATGGGGTGTTTGGCAGGTCTAGAACGTAAGCAAATGAAATTGAAATGAATGTCGGGCACTCGCAGAGCCTGCGTCAGCTGACATTACACAAAGCATCAAGGTCCAAAAGCTTCATGGCTACCTCGAATTATTCGATACAGCGCAGCAGCTGACAAACCGACGTGACCTCATTTTTCTCTTTAGAACAACTGTTGTCGCAGTGAAAAATGAAAACAACACAAAAACACGTAGAGCATTAGTCATCTTGGGCCGATCTCTTAGATGAGGAAAACTTTTAAAGAAAGATCAGGAACAAGACTTCTGAAACCTGACTAGGGAATGGCCCGCACTTACCTTGGGCTTTTGGAATGGGACCTATATGATTCGAAAGAGAATTTCACGGAGAATCCGAATCTGCTCTCCATTTTTGCTAAAGAGCACTGGCTGGCGAGAAAATCTGCCTGTTTCTGCCACATTTTCTAGCAAGTTCATCTTCGGCGACCTGTATCTCAAGAACCACGCGTCCGTTGAAAAAGTGGTCAACTAGTAAGTGAGCGCAAATTATCTCGTGAATAACTTTGTTGTTGATCGTCTATTAAAAAAAATTAGTTTTCGAGTTATCGTCGCTTTTTTCTTGTCGCTCTTGCAAAAATACTCAAACCAACATGAAAATTCAACTATTATTTATTGAAACCACTATAAACGAGAAAATATTAAAGTTTTTCGATGCGGTTGCCTTTGTTCTTGACAACATCCTTTTTCGAGAACACACACTGGCGACTCTTTCAGCCATTTCAGCTTTCTTCGCATGTGCTTTTTGAACGCTAGACTTTCTTCCCATCTCTGTAACAATTACACGTGTTTTCCTCTTTCTCCCCCCAATTTGTTCTACATGTGTGCCTTAGCTTTCTTCCCACATTCAGCGGCTGAAAGACCATTTCTTGGTTAGACGTCTTCATTCTTACCAGACTTGCCAGATTTCGGGCCGGGCCGGGTCGGTGAAGTGCCGGCCCGGCCCGGCCCGGTCGGCCCGGTTCAAAAGGCGGGAATTCAAATTTTCGCGGAAATTTTTTTTTCGTTATTACAAAAAAAATTTTCGAACTAAAGTTTTAGTGTTTCTTCTTTGTTTTTTGCTATTATGAATTTTTTATGAGAAATACATTTGTTTTTCAATTTTCGATGCTTGCAAAAAACCCCTAATTCTACAAAAAATGGCTTCATGCGATCAATTATTCAAATTTTGAATTCCCGCTTTTTGAACCGGGCCGTGGCAACTATGATTCTTACTGACCTTTTAATCAACAATGTTGTAATCGAGATGTTCCAAATGTCTCATCGATACCCACGTGGTACGTTTTCTCTGAAAAGTGCTTGAAGAATAGTATGCAAAGGACGAAACTATCGACGAAGAATGCAGACGTGACAAATTATCAGCATAATCAGCAGTAGAAGGGCAGCAGAAAGTAAAAGAAGAGCAGCTGTGCTTTTAAAATTCAGAAATTCTATACTTTTTAATCGTTTTGTACAATTACTAAACTTTGTGCAGCCGAAATTTTCGCACGGGACACGCGTCAATTGCTTCGCGAAAATTGATAGAGAAGTTTTTTGGAAGGTAACCCATGATTTTTGGAAGGTAACCCATAAACAATATTTCAAAAACGTAGGCAATGCTCTTGGAAGGCAAATAACAAAATAAAGGATTTGGTTGACAATACTCCTACTAACTTTAGAAAACAAAAATTGTGGCTACGCCGAGCCAGAACTGTCCCGTCTGATTCAGAACCCGTCCAAACATGATTTGTTGTAACAAGAACCACCTGCAGGTAGGTTCTGATCCGGGACAGTTCTGATACGGGACAGTTCTGGCTCGACGTAGCCTCCAAAAATTATGAGTAAGCGCAGTATGTTTCTAACTAGGGAATGGCCCGCACTTACCTTCTCGGCAAAGGCGCGCCACTTTTGCGCAAAGTTAGCGCAGCTGGCTAGTTGCGCAAAATCTGCGTAAAGTCTGCGCAAAAGCTGTCAGTTTTAAAATTTTGACCAAATGCTGCTTAAAAATGTTCAGTTTATCTCCACTTCATTTCTGCATGAAAAAACAATTTTATTGGGATAGTATAAAAACCAGAAACAAGTACCATTTAGAGATTAGTGATTGTATAGTCTTCGTCACTTTCATAACTGAAAAAAGACACGTTGTTATAAGTGAAAATGCAGGCGATGTAAGAGAGCCCATCCTCAAAATCTGAAATTCTCATCTACGAGTTATAAAATTTTCTGCTAACTCACTGAAACACTCTTTTAATTCATGAATCGGAGGATTAACGGCCGTGTCTATGCCGCGTCTTTTCGCCTTCCGCCAAAAAAAATTGAATTCCGCCTTTTCAAAAAATCTATTCCGCTCAACTCTGGTTCCACTTCTCATCAAAATCATATCTCATGTAATCATATAACAGTCTTAATTCGAACGGAACTCACCGAGTCTCCTTTCGAGACAAATGACTTGGACACTTTTTCGCTGAAGTCGATAGTTTCGTCCGGATCCATTTTTCTCTTTACAGTGGTTCATGTTCTATCTAAACCAGAAAAGAATGTGATATAGTACAAAAGTACGAGCATGTGAATCGTTCAAACATCTTAAATAATTGTGAAGTAGCTCGAATTCAAGTGACTTCATACAAATTTTCAATAACACTCGCTTCTAAATGAAATCCGACTGAAATTTCGCTTGAAATGCGCTCAAACCGAGGAAATACGGAAAAAGATAAGTAGTTTCAATTTTATAAGCAACAAAAAACAAATAAAACGCATAAAAACAAGCTGGAAAAAGCGAACAGTACTGAAAATGCAAAGTTTCCATAACAATTTCGACATGCCTTAAAGTTTGCACAAAAGCTGCGAGGACGCTTAAAGTTTGCGCAAAAGCTGCGAGGACGCTTAAAGTTTGCGCAAAAGCTGCGAAAATCCTTAAAGTTTGCGCAAAATCTGCGACGATCCTTTAAGTTCACGGTCTCCCAGGGCGCTAATGCTAAACACAGTGCGATCGTAAATTGCGGAGTGTCATTGCAACTTTTGAAAATTTGCAGGTCTAAAAATGCATTTCAATTCGAGTTTACGACCTTTATTTCTTTCCTTTTGACTTGAAAAACGTCTAGAAAACAATATTTTACTGATTGGAAACCGTTCTTTACAGAATTTAGAGTTTTTCATGTTTTTCGTCAAAACTTCAAACCTTTATATTTAAGCTCATTTTGCATTTCATGAGCCCAACAAACAATAAAAAAGTTCGCTGAATCTTTCTTCACAAAATTCAGATTCCGGCGGTTAGTTTTCTTGAGCAGTTTTCGAAAACTATTCGAAAAACATCAAAATCCAGGCCAAAACCTTCAAATCCAAATAACTCGGCTAATTCTCAACGATATGTGAGATTTCTGTTACCAAAACGTAGCTAGTGCTCTAATTATTCGAATCCAGGTTCCGGGCGTACAAAAAAATAGGTGTATTCTACAGAAGACATGGAAAGAACGCGAACTCCCGTTGAAAATTAAAGGTGGTGTCCAACGTGACATACAACATATTTTTAAAATAAACTTCGAAGTGGGGCATTCACTTTCCCAAAGTCCCGAATTACGAAAAAAATTCCCCGATTTTTAAGATTTTTTTCAAAAAAGTTAATGGTACCGAGAGAAGTACACGGCGAAATGGAAGAGCCGGCCTAGATTTTTCTAGTCCCCGGATGGAATTCCCCTTTTTTTCGATTTTTTTCTGTTTTCGTGCAATTTTCTTAAATTTTCAATCGTTTTTTCACTGAGCCACGGTCTCCAGAGCTTACAATGGGCGCAAGTGCGCTCCGCCCAATAGAGCGATACATTGGCGCAAAATTCAAATTTTAACAGCAAAATTAGTGTTTTTTGCCAGATTAGCCACGAAAAACCGATAATTTATGATTTGTCTCTCGATAGACCGATTGTATAGTCTATTACGAATTTTTTAAGCGCAAGAGCGTTAAATTTTGTCAAGTCGCAAATCACATTTATCCGCTTGAAGGTTTTTGGCTAAAACTGCGTGAATTTCAGTTGCTTTTCGGTAGTTTTCGCGGTTCGATCGCTCAAAATGCTAGTGTTTACGTGATTTATCATTCTCAAAACCAATTCTGTCTGAAAACGGTAAAGAAAGCGCAAAATGAGAAGTGCGCTTTTTAGGCGGCGCGCCGCGGCGATCGGCGGCGAAGGCGAAAAAGCGAAATCCGCAAAAATGCGCCAAAACGTCATTAATTCTTAGAATTAGTGTGTTTTCACGTCGAACAATCATTTTTCATCGCCTTTGACCACAAAAATCAGAGAAAACCTGCTCAATTCATGAAAACGCCATTTGGTCGAGGCCACGCCCATATTGTCAGCTCTGGAGACCGTGTGAGCACACATATTTGCAATATTTAAAAAAATTTATGATTTTTCTGTGCCGTGACGCCAAAAAAATCGATAATCTGAAACTTTCAAAATTTAGCAAAATTCAGAAATTCAGCCACTTTTTGTAAAACTCTATTTATTTTTCAGCGCGCAAACCGAAGATTGAGCGAAAAAAACCCGGAAAAACAACAAAAAAAGTTTCAGATTATCGATTTTTTTGGCGTCACGGCACAGATAAAATTATAAATTTTTTTAAAAATATTGCAAATAAGTGTGTTCAGTGGAAAAACGATTGAACATTTAAGAAAATTGCATGAAAACGGAAAAAATTCGGAAGAAAAGGGAATTCCATCCGGGGACTTGAAAAATCTAGGCCGGCTCTTCCATTTCGCCGTGTACTTCTCTCGGTACCATTAACTTTTTTGAAAAAAATCTTAAAAATCGGGGAATTTTTTTCGTAATTCGGGACTTTGGGAAAGTGAATGCCCCACTTCGAAGTTTATTTTAAAAATATGTTGTATGTCACGTTGGACACCACCTTTAATTAATCGGCCGCCGCGTAAATCACACGGCCCGCCTGTTGCAAGTGCGCCCCATTGAGATCATTCGCGCCGTGGGAGACCGTGATATATATCACGGTGATTCTTTGCGAGGGTGACGAGGAAAATTCTAGTCCATTTGGCCCGGGGTCGCAGGCCGTGGTACTAGGCCACGGTTTCCGCCGAGTCCCCCTGCTGAACAAGAAATTATTAGGCCACGCCAGAAGTTAGGCCAGGAGGCCGAACCGAAGAAACTCGGCCATGGGGAATTTTTCACGAATTTCGCGCTTGTTTCATTTTTTAGCGCTTGTTCTCTGTCAATTAATGCTTGTTTTCGGCTGAGTTTTGTATTTTTTCATCTCAAACATGAAAGAACGCAGTTTATAGAAGCTTTATTATTTTTTAGTAATTGTTATCAACAGAGAAAAATTGCCAACAGCAAAAACCAATAACAGCGCTGTGTAATATTCCTGAAAAGCAGTAAGAACGTCTTCAAAATGCTGTCGGAAACAATTGCGGCTAAACAGAAAGCGCGCGCGCCAAACTTGCAAAATTGCGTGCGGCAATTGCGCAAGACCACGCCCCTTCTTTGAATGGTGGCCGAGTTCGCGGCGCGTTTCTCACTACACCCTCGCAAAGAATCACCGTGCGTGAAGTTTGCGCAAAAGTGGCGCGCCTTTGCCGAGTTGGGCTTTTGGAATGGGACCTATATGCAGACTTGCCAGATTTCGGGCCGGCCATGCGGGCCCGGCCCGGTCGGCCCGGTTCAAAAGGCGGGAATTCAAATTTTCGCGGAAATTTTTTTTTCGTTACACGGTCTCCAGAGCTGACAATATGGGCGTGGTCTCGGCCAAATGGCGTTTTCATGAGTTGAGCAGGTTTTCTCTGATTTTTGTGGTCAAAGGCGATGAAAAATGATTGTTCGGCATAAAAAACACACTAATTCTCGGAATTAATGACGTTTTGGCGCATTTTTGCGGATTTCGCTTTTTCGCCTTCGCCGCAGATCGCCGCCTAAAAACCGCACTTCTCATTTTGCGCTTTCTTGACCATTTTTAGACAGAATTGGTTTTGAGAATGATAAATCACGTAAATACAAGCATTTTGAGCGCTCGAACCGCGAAAATTACCGGAAAGCAACTGAAATTCACGCAGTTTTAGCCAAAAACCTTCAAACGGATAAATGTGATTTGCGACTTGACCAAATTTAACGCTCTCGCGCTTAAAAAATTTGTAATAGCCCATACAATCGGTCTATCGAGAGACAAATCAGAAATTATCGGTTTTTCGTGGCTAATCTGGCAAAAAACACTAATTTTGCTGTTAAAATTTGAATTTCGCGCCAATGTATCGCTCTATTGGGCGGGACGCACTTGCGCCCATTGTCAGCTCTGGAGACCGTGCGTTATTACAAAAAAAATGTTCGAACTAAAGTTTTAGTGTTTCTTCTTTGTTTTTTGCTATTATCATAGTATTATGAATTTTTTATGAGAAATACATTTGTTTTTCAATGTTCGATGCTTGCCAAAAACCCCTAATTCTACAAAAAATGGCTTCATGCGATCAATAATTCAAATTTTGAATTCCCGCTTTTTGAACCGGCCCGGCCCGTGGCTACTATGCCTATATGATTCGAAAGAGAATTTCACGGAGAATCCGAATCTGCTTTCCATTTTTGCTAAAGAGCACTGGCTGGAGAGAAAATCTGCCTGTTTCTGCCACATTTTCTAGCAAGTTCATCTTCGGCGACCTGTATGTCAAGAACCACGCGTCCGTTGCAAAAGTGGTCAACTAGTATGTTAACGCAAATTATCTCGTAAATAATTTTGTAGTTGATCATCATTTAAAAAAATTAGTTTTCGAGTTATCGTCGTTTTTTTCTCGTCGCTCTAGGAAAACAGTTCATAACTCAACAACTAATTTTTTTTTAAATAGACGGTCAACTAGAAAGTTATTCACGACATAATTTGCGTTAACTTACTAGTTGACCACTTTTGCAACGGACGCGTGGTTCTTGAGATATCATAGGGGCACCCCACAGCAATGGCGCTCTGTTGAGAAACTCTTTTTGCAGAGCAAATTGAGCGACCTCGGGGCCGAGTTTGAAAAGTTAGGCCACATTTTCAGTGGAAAATTACTTCGCGGCCTAGAAATTCGGCCAGATTGCGAACAGCGCGCCCTTTCTATCCGGTGCCCCTATAATACTAGTTGACCACTTTTTTGCTTTGTTCTTGAGATACAGGTCGCCGCAGATGAACTTGCTAGAAAATGTGGCAGAAACAGGCAGATTTTCTCGCCAGCCAGTGCTCCTTAGCAAAAATGGAGAGCAGATTCGGATTCTCCGTGAAATTCTCTTTCGAATCATATAGGTCCAATTCGAAAAGCCCAAGGTAAGTGCGGGCCATTCCCTATGCGGCCGAGCTCTCCATTCCCTACGCGGCCGAGCTCTCCGACAAAGATGCCAATTCTGAAAAAGCTTAAAATAGTAACAAACGTGGGTAGAAAAGTCTTTAAAAAATTATAAAATTCGATATGTGAGATTTGAAAATTTTTCGGCCAACACTGTGTCATGTAGAGCACGGGCCGGCTTTTCATACATAGGACTTTCGGTTTTTTCAATATATCTCCAGAAATCGAACATAGGAACCTCTGATTTTTTGATAAGAGTTCAAGTTTACTGGGTTCTTCAAAATGAGCCAGGTCAGAGGTAAATGTAAGGTTTCTGAGAGAAGTTACAGCTTCACAATTCACAATAAAATTTCCACTCCTCCGTATGCTTTGCCGGCCCGTGTAGAGATGAACCCAATTATTTCATTTTCTGCAAATACATTTTTTCACCGTCTGTGGGAGTGTCGGCCGAATTTATTTTAACACATGGGCTGCGATTGTTGAACAATTGTTTTAAAAACAATTGTTTATTTAAAATACGAGATGATCCACCCGGTGTTCAATGTACATAGAAGCATTTCTTCGGTCACACACATCCATATTCATACCAAATTGTAGATTCGTTTAGCTTATTTTCAACTCCAGGTGTTACACAGTTGTTAACATTTTCGTAGTAGCTCATTGTTTTGTCTGTTCTTTCTTCCTGTAACATCTATATTCATTGAGCGAAACTCGTAATCAAAGACAAAATTTGCTTAAACTCACTTTATCCCTGATAGTATCCCGCTTTTCTCCTTCACTAACAACACTGCGGTCGGAAAAGTGCTCGGGTTTGTGTTCTGTTTTGAGGTGAGTTGAAATTGGCGACGAATCCAGATAAGCAAACAGATTACCATGTTTAGGTAGAAAATTCCGTGATCTAGTTGAAGACGTGTAAGGTGGTGGTGGGGGTCTGGATCGGAGTGAGGAAGTTGCAACTGTATTTCGGAGAAGCGCTCGGGTTCGAGGATATGAGGCATCTAAAAAGTAAAGCAAATAGTATTAATTGCTTCTGATCCAATACTTTGATTCACTTGTGCAAAATCACACAAGCTTTGGTCAGAAGTACGCGTGGGAGTTGAAGCTACTCTCACTGAACCACCAAACTGATTGTTCCTTGCCCGTATGGAGCTAATCTGGATCTCTTCGTGTGGCGATATTCTGTCATGATCGTCTGAGGATGAGCATGTAGGAGGCAAGTTATCGTTATCATCCGGAGCACCTGATGGAAACGTTTCGATAGAACATATGAATAACAAAAACACGTAGACATATATGTTTATTCTACAGGACATAACAAAGACCGGACGTTTATGAACCAAAGGACTACGAACACCCGAAAACACGAAAGGCTGAAGGAAAGACAATCACATACACATGCAACAATTACTACAGTAGAAATTCAGAATAAAATAAATTCTTCTTATTTTGAAAAGCTCCGAAAATAGAAATTCTTGCTCTACTCAGTGTTATTGTAGTACACAGTCAAGTTCGTGTCTATCATTTTTTTGACACTAGGATTGTTGTAGGGACCCAATGAAGCTTGATTCTGAGCACTCTGTATTTTTTTAAACGAAGAAAAAGGAGAAAAAGATAACCGCTGGTCAGGCTTCCGACGTATATCATCAAAATAAGAACCATGTACTGGACATGATTCCGAAATAGAGATGGAGCCACTGGATGTGGACACATCTGACGCTGAACATGGGTAATTACCGAGAAGTGTAGGTGAAGATCGTTCATCAGCCGAGTAGACGCTACTGTCTTCAGTTGTGGAACCACCATTGGATGCGATTCGTCTCTGAAAAAATCAGTGATGTGACACGTCTTCCAAAACTGCACGTTTCTCACTAACTCAACACACTTACTCTACTAATCAAAGCCTTTGCAGCTCTCTTCACGAGCGGTTGTTTTCTTTCTGGTGTCTTTTTATTTTCCATTGTTCTATACTGATCAATAATTTTATCCTCCAACTTTTCTTTATGACGCCGTAAAGAGTTCAACTTATCCTGAATTGAAAGGGTACGGCTTAGTTCAAAGTTTGAAAAATTGCATACTTGGAAATCCTTCATTTCCAAATGATACTGATCTTTGTCGTGAAGAGCACGTTGTAAAAGTTCCTTGTTTTGATTTATCAAAATCTCCATTTGTTTTGTCAAGTTCTTATTTTCCTCACTGTATGCTTGGTTTAGTTGGCACAGTGAGTCCACTCTTTTAATCAGTTTACTATTGTCCGCAGTCAGAGAACTAAATTGTCTTTTCAGTCCTTCAATTATTTCAGTTTGGTTGAGGCATATGTCGTTTTTTCGCCTGAGCTCCACATTCAACTTTTCTTTACTGCACACAATAACGTCTATTTCGTTCCTACAAACATTTTTGAAATGTATAATTATTTATATTTCGTTACTTTAGACTGATTAGTTCAGATTTGCAATAATCGTGTTTCTTCTCCAGCTCCAAGTAAGTTTGATGACCTTTTTCTCGCATATCCGCTTCTCGGATCAATTTCTTTTCAAGCTCTTGGATGCTTGAATTCGTTGAGATAGACTGCTGCTCTGGGAACTCGATCGCAATCTAATTAGAAAACTTTGCAATCTAATACGAACTCGTTTGAAATAGAATTTGCTTCAATTAGATTGCAAAATCTTCTAATTGTTATAGGGGCATCTCACAGAAATCTCTGGAAACTCGATTGCAATCTAATTAGAAGAGTTTGCAATCTAATAAGAAAAAGCTCTATTTCGCAATCTAATCAGATTTAATTGAAGTTCCAGTAAAATCGTATTAGATTACAATATATTTTTCCTGAATTGCAATCTAATAAGAATAAATTGCAAACTAATTAGAAAACATTGCAATCTAACTAGAAAAATTGCAGTGATTGTAATCTAATTAGAAGATTTTGCAATCTAATTGAAGCAAATTCTATTTCAAACGAGTTCGTATTAGATTGCAAAGCTTTCTAATTAGATTGCGATTGAGTTCCCAGAGTATGGCGCTCTGTTCGCAATCTGACCGAATTTCTATGCCGCGAAGTAATTTTCCACTGTAAACGTGACCTAACTTTTCAAACTCGGCCCCGAGGTCGCTCAATTTGCACTGCAAAAAGAGTTTCTCAACAGAGCGCCATTTCTGTGCGGTGTCCCTATAATAGATCGCAATCACTGCAATGTTTTCTAATTAGATTGCAATTTTTTCTAATTAGATTGCAATTTTTTCTTATTAGATTGCAATGCAGGAAAAATACATTGTAATCTAATACGATTTTACTGGAACTTCAATTAAATCTGATTAGATTGCGAAATAGAGCTTTTTCTTATTAGATTGCAAACTCTTCTAATTAGATTGCAAACTCTTCTAATTAGATTGCAAACTCTTCTAATTAGATTGCAAACTCTTCTAATTAGATTGCAATCGAATTTCCAGAGTGCTAAAGTTTCAAACAAAAGATTATGTTAATGTCAACAAAAAGGTACCAAAGGAACATTTTGAAGTCGCTGTCTCAATTCTGTAGATTCTCTCTTAGAGTTATCATAATCACTGGTTAGCAGATTATAAAGATGTTGTAGACGACTGTGATCGACAAGCAGTGTCTTATGCATCGATTCTAGCTCATCCATGTTAAATGCATGTTTTTTGTTCTGTTTTTGCAACTCGTAAACTTCATCCCGGAGTTTCAAGTTCTCTTGTTTCACCAGTTCTTCCTGAAATCACATGTGAGATAATTCTGAAAAATTTTAGCTGCTAACCTGAATTTGAGAGTTCCTAATTGAAACTTGCAAACTAGCAATCGTACCGCTGTTGGAGCCGGAGTCAGTCTGAACACGATTCAAATGTTACATGATGTTGGCGTTTGAAGAAATATCTTACCATACTCTTTTTTTGCTCTTCTATAGAATTCCTAGCAATTTCGATATCATTATCTTTTGACGATAGTTCCAACGTTAGTTCTCGTATTTTTTTTTTTAGAGCAAAGGCTTCTTCTCTCGCTGCCATATGTTCTTTAGTTAGCTCCTGAACTCGATTATCGCTCTCATTAAGCGATTCACTTTCACTGCGTCTAAAAAAAGAATTAAAAACATAATGGGGTTATTCAGGCTGTGAAAAAAATGATTTCTTTCCGTTTTTTTTCGTTTTTTTACGTAAAAAAAACCCAATTCAGCGGTGTGAAAAAACGAAAAAAAACGGAAAACAAACACACGCTGAATAGCCCCATAAGAAAATAGATGTCGCTCCTACCTCAACTTCTCAATATCACGCTTCAAATCAGACAGTTCTGCAATCTGCTTGTTTTGTTGAACTCGTAAAGAATCTGATTCTCGTTTGACTGTCACCAAAGCTTTCATCATAATATCATCGATACTATTTATGAGTTCTTCGTCATCAAGATCACTAACATCTAGATCTCCACCATGGGAATTGACAGTTGAACACAAAGACCTGAGTTTTCCAACAAGGTCAGCTCTTTTCGACTTTTCCAACACAAAGTCTTCTCGAAGACGTTGAGTCTTCTTCAACTCTATCGCCAATTGCTGCTTTGCCAATCCTAATTCATTCTCCAAACTGCCTTTCTCATCATGCAATCGGCCTATCAGATTATCCTTATCGTCAAGTCGCTTTTGTTTGCTGTCATAATTGAGTAACAGTAGCTTGAAGTTGTCTACTTCCTTCTCCAATTCTTCTGTCCTAGCCCTCAATGCTTCCTTTTCAGTTTCAGCGTTTTTTCGGGCTTTGTCCAGATGCGAAACGGATATCTCGGCTGAGCGTATCTCTTCTCGTGATTCATCCAGTTCAAACAGAAGCTTTCGATTTTCTTCTTCGAGTTTTTCTATTTGATTCTCAAGGTCTGCTTGCTGTTGCTGAGAAATCAACATATTAGTCTTAAAGCTCTCCGATTCAAGTTGAAGTTCCTGAATCTTGTATTCTGCTTCTCTTTCTAATCGTTTTCCGAATTCATCTTGGAATTGTGTGAACTTCCTCCGTGCTTCATGAAGTCCTTTGATTGCTTCGTCTCGTTCACCACGAATGTAGTCCAACTGCATCAAAGTCTCTTCTAACTCAATTCCAATACTTTCCAAATTTTTACAACTTTTCTCTTTTTCCACTTCAATTTTTTTGTGGTCTAGGGAGCATTCTTCAATTTTCAACTCAGCCTCCTCCAACTTCTTTCGCAATTCATCAATTTCTCGTGAAATGTGTGCCGGTCTGCAAAATTAGAGAGTTCCAGTTCCAGACTGCATAATTATACTCACAATACTTCAGGCGCTGCTCCTTCTGTTTGAGCTCTCAGTTTTCGAATTTCGGTTTTCATAATTTCTAATTCATCCTTCGTTGCGTCCTCCAACTGCTCAGCTAGGGAATTTACGTGCCGTGGAGTTGTTGTACTAGAAGACCTTCAATAAGAAGCAATTTGATTGTCTTGGGGGCCCATGAAGAAACTCTTTAAGGCTTTCCACGGTTAAGGTTTTAAGGTTTCCAGTAGGCTGGTCGAACAGGCGATTTCAGGCGCCTGATAAGGAGGCGCCTGTTTTTTTCAGGCGCCTGTTCGACCAGCCCACTTTCCAGTTAGAAAAAAGGCACAATCTGAATAACCCTATAATATCCGCTATCCCCGCCCTGTTCTAAAAAAGTTTTTCTTACATTTCCAACTGAGTTATTCTCTCTTCTCTTTCCTTCAACTCGTGATTCAGTCTATATTTCTCATCGAGTAGAACCTCTATTTCAGCATTTTTCTGGTCGAGACAGTGTTCCATGCTTTCAATTGTGGTCTTCAAACGTAAAACGCTCCCTGTAGCATTGCTTTTGTCAATATTGTCGATTTGCAATGACCTGATAGTTTTTTCGAGCTCAATTATAGTTCCTTCTAGAGCAGCATTCTTCTTTTCCAATGTCTTAAAAACAGTTTTCAAATCTAAAAGTTTTTCACTCTTTCAAACCTCATTTCTTGATTTGTGAAATTCGTTGTCTTCTTTAGCATCGTTGAACTTTTTGGCAATGTGTTCTAATGGTTGCAACTTTTCTATTCGATATCGGGCAGCTTGCAAGTCATCATTTAGTTCCTTAACAACTCGCTCTTGACCCAACAACTTCCGCTTATCATTTTCCAAGGCAGTTATCCGTTTCGCCTTGGCTTCTATTTCCACTTCCAGTTTTCTACATTCTTCATCCTTATTCTCTCTAAAAATTTCATCGTTTTTGGAGAACCATTGGCTTGAGGCCGTGCCGAAACGGGGAAATTCACGAAAACCGCGGATGCGAAAATCGCGGATTCTTACATGCGATATACTTGACGCGCGTTTACAGTAAGCTTGCGTTTTTTGAACTGATGAACAGTGAACAATCAGAGAAATGAAGCGTAAGCTACTTTGAAAAATATATTTGGTCAAACAAAGTTGTATTCAAGGACCCATAATTTGGTTTTGATGGAAACCCGTCAGGTTAGTGACACGTGCGCGTTAAGTTTGGCGCGTGCAAGAATCCGCGATTTTGATTCCGCAATTTTGGCATCCGCGGTTTTCGTGAATTCCCCCGCTTTGGCACGGCCTCATCGGCTTTGATTACGCTTGTTCTCGAAGTTGACGGTTCTCGTGTGTGAGTTTCGTTAATTGTATGGAAAACTGACGATGTTCTGAATTCGGGGAAACCGACCGGGATTCTGAAATGATGATTTCTGAATTTGTGAGCACTAACTGAATTCGTTACCACTCGTACTGGCATTCTCGGTCAACGAACTGTTTGTTTTGATTTCTGCCAAATCTGCCTCCTGAAAGCATTTATTTTTTATTCACTGGATCTATAGTTTATTTAGTTTAATCTGCATACATTTTCATAACGAGATTGATCTGTTAGTACATCCTGTTGCTTCATCACTTTCTTCACTGAATGGAACACAACTTTCTTGCCGGTGTGCTTTGCACTGATGAGAATCGACGTGTCTTCAGTTATTTCTCGGATGTGATGAGCAAGGCCAGCTTGGATGTGTTCGTTGAATGCAGTTATGCGATCAATGAAAACTTTTTTCTTCTCACTCTGTATTGCACAGCCAAGAATCAGTAGAATGACCTTCTTCACCTGTTCGTAGAAGTTATCTGAAATGAAATTAGTAATATTTATTAATATGGAAATAATTATAGAACAAGTGTCTAAAGTTTGATTGAAACAGAGGAAAACGGAAATCGCTCTTTCTCTCCTCTCTCTCTCTCTCTCTCTCTCTCTCTCTCTCTCTCAAGTACTTTTCGGAAGCCTCATCACAGACTGTGATTCACAGTGCATTCGTTTGCGGATAGAGAAACTGTTTTTCACTTTGAAAAAAAAAACGAGTCCGCAGATTTTTAGAATCCGCAAACTGCTGCCACCAAAGTATAAGAAGAAGCAGAAGCGAAAGTTAGATTACGAATGGATTCGAATTGCGCAAGGTACCGATTTCTCTGCCGTTTGTTCAATAAAGAATGCTGGTGAGTAGTCGAGAAAAAATTTATTGAGGCAGCTGAGTCTCGTGCAAATATTTGCATATTATCACGGGAAACTCGTCGTAAGAGGCGCGATGGAGTGAGAAAATTCGGATTTCGGAGGAAATGTTCGAGAAGAACGAGGGAGAGAACTACAACGGAAGTTTAAAATATATGTGTAACGGACAGGTGTTCCGCTCTCTTCCACATAGAATACCCATCAGGGAATCTATTTCATTCGTTGATATAGTAAGAGAAAACAACTATCGTAGAAATGAAATCGCACTTCTCAGTTTCTATTACTAACAGCTGAACATGCAAAAGATGAATAGGATTGTACGATCTAACATTCGAGGTTTGCTGTATTGTTCGTTTTCTTCTTGCCTACTTCTACAAAAAACCGAACGGAGTCTTATTTGATAAACTTCAGTTTCACTTAAAAAGTTGAATACCAGAATTTATGTTTGGTAATACGGAACACATCGGTATAATGATTTTCAGCAGAAGAATATTTTTCATAGTATTACGCAGACAATTGTTGTCTCAATTGTACTTACATTTGCTAGTCAAATTCAACGCGCACTTAACCTAATGAGTTCTCTGGAGAAACATGTGAAAATGTGGTTTTTTGAAGTTTCTATAGAAATGTGTGCACAATATTACTGTAAACGTTTCTAATGCTTTGTTTTTCCTTTTTCTATAAATTCTACAAAAAAGTTTCAGAAATAGGAACTAAAGCTAAATCGATTTTTCTGACAATTGGAAAATTACCACAATGTAAATAAACTGTTTTGGAAAATAAAACAAAGTGACGATAAGGAAGTCGAAATAGAATAAACTGCAACATTCGGAATATCAGTTAGACTTGTTTATGATTAGCTTTGATTTGCAACGACCCATTCGCCAAACGTTCACCCACACGCTCACCCACACGCTCACCCGATGAATGTGTCAACAAATAAACGGCATTATGATTATGTTTCTTTGTTCCGAACGCTATTTCTTTTCTCTTGCCGGTCCAGAAACGGCTTTGGTTTGCAAGGTCACTCGAGAAATAGACGTATAATGTAATCTCACCCACCATTACGATCCTTCTGGCATAAAACATGCAAATTTGGAAGATCACACACGATTAACTGCTCACAGTTCTTCTAAATTTAATTTTTTAGACGTTGAAATTTCAAGAAAATAACCCTATAAAATTGAATTATTTGGATAAGCAGCTTCTCAAATGAAATTTCAAGAGTGGTATCCGAATTGATGAAAGAATTTTCTGGATCTCTGTAAATCAAACGGCAATTTAGAAATAATAGATGCCAAACTTACATAAATTCCAATAAGCGTCCCAAAACGGGAGCATCCAGTAACTCATGGCAATCTATTGGATATTGTAAACGGCGTTCAGAACGCCAATCGGCTACATTGACAAGAGCAAATTGTCCAATCAAGCAATCGCTTAATCGAGACATCAAAACTCAAACTATAATAGTAAAACTTACTGTAACCAGTATGTTAAGGGATGAGTCCAAAAAACTGCGTCGCCTTTCATTGCTTTTGGTGCATTTCCCTGTATGACATCCAAACATTATGATAATATTTGAGAAAATGAGAATGCTCAATAAAAAAATCAAAGGAAAAGCGAACAGATTCGATGGGCAATACATTTAAGACATTCTATTCACGATAAATGCAAATTCTGAATGAGATTGACCTTCCTTTCGGAATGGGGTTTGAAAGAAATAGTCAAGGTAACAGTTGGAATGAATGTACATTTTTGTTCAGTTCTGCCAAGCAAATGAATCAATCTTGGCAATCGAATAATAGCTAACGGTTTGCAAGTTTCACAAAAAAAAATCTGTAATGGAAACAATTGTTTATGATTAGATTGCACAACCGGTTTTCTGCAGGAGCACTCGAACAAAACATACATGGGAAAAATACACATCTACATACCAAATGCTAATTACGTGTTCAATAGACCACACAAACCAGGTGACACTAGAGAACAGTGAGAGAGGAGCTCAATAAATTAACAGACTACGTGATCTAGTCCAATTACTCGATCGATTCATGAGAATACAACTGAAACGAATAAAACGAATAATTGGTTGTGGAACGTGATAACTTTTAGGAAAGCAATACGTGTCTTGGGGAGGGCTTGCTTAATGGTGAATTGGTCGACATTTGTCATTCATATACGTAACGTAGGTGCGGCTGTCCTTGCTAGTTGCGCAATATCCTTACATTTTGGGTGTGGCAACCCTTGATGAAAGCTCTGAACAAGATGTTGCGCCCTCGAATTGTTGTACCCTAAAGTGTATTTAAAAAAACTTGCCCCCTCGGTGTTTGCAGACTCAAGCCTAATTTCAGGAAATTTTGGCTTGCGTCTGCAAACACCCAGGGGCAATAGCGATGAATTGAGTTTACCCTAAAATAAGTTGTACCCTGTTGTGCCCTAAAATTGTTGTATCATCGAAACTAAATGCCGTTCCAACCTAGTTTTATTTTGAAACATTCATCTGCCGCGTCCAAGGTTCAAGGAAATCCCAGCGAAATCCGCGTGATTTCCGGTTTTTTTTTAACTTTGGACGCCCGCGGCATTAGTTAAAACCAGCTTTCAATCTGTGAATGGAAAGTGTTTTCTATCTAAGTGAGATTAAAAAGATTAAATCTGCATTCATTATTATAGGCACGGTGATTCTTTGCGAGGGTGTAGTGAGAAACGCGCCGCGAACTCGGCCACCATTCAAAGAAGGGGCGTGGTCTTGCGCAATTGCCGCACGCAATTTTGCAAGTTTGGCGCGCGCGCTTTCTGTTTAGCCGCAATTGTTTCCGACAGCGTTTTGAAGACGTTCTTACTGCTCTTTAGGAATATTACACAGCGCTGTTATTGGTTTTTGCTGTTGGCAATTTTTCTCTGTTGATAACAATTACTAAAAAATAATAAAGCTTCTATAAACTGCGTTCTTTCATTTTTGAGATAAAAAAATACAAAACTCAGCCGAAAACAAGCATTAATTGACAGAGAACAAACGCTAAAATATGAAACAAGCGCGAAATTCGTGAAAAATTCCCCATGGCCGAGTTTCTTCGGTTCGGCCTCCTGGCCTAACTTCTGGCGTGGCCTAATAATTTCTTGTTCAGCCGGGGGACTCGGCGGAAACCGTGGCCTAGTACCACGGCCTGCGACCCCGGGCCAAATGGACTAGAATTTTCCTCGTCACCCTCGCAAAGAATCACCGTGATAGGGGCACCGGACAGAAAGGGCGCGCTGTTCGCAATCTGGCCGAATTTCTAGGCCGCGAAGTAATTTTCCACTGAAAATGTGGCCTAACTTTTCAAACTCGGCCCCGAGGTCGCTCAATTTGCACTGCAAAAGGAGTTTCTTAACAGAGCGCCATTTCTGTGCGGTGCCCCTATAATACGAAAGCTGCTTTTATTAATAAAATTATTGACCATTGCATTGTGTGAGAAAGTGCTTCATAAAACATGAACACATGTACTAAAAAAGGCAGTTTGAAACAATCTATGAATATGTGATCATTTGGAATTGGAATTATAAGTCAAGGAATAATGGAATGTAACTAAACATTGACAGCTTCCGACAGAATGAACACGCAACAGAAAGTGTTTCCGCATTTCTGAGCCATTGTGCAAACTTATCACACATTCCTCACAGTCCTGTCAATGATTAACGGAAAACTAGAAAATTATGTTCCTTCAACAATGTTGTTATTGTCTGTACATCGAGAATGGTAAGTGATTCAACATTTACTAGAAATAAGAAGTGATAATAGTTTAAAAGATATAGATGATTTATTTTTCAGAATCTTCCGTTGCACATTTCGTAAAACTTTTCATCTACGGAATAGACGTTAAATACATGACTAATTTCGACATCTTCTTGAAATCGCCGCGTAGCTCTCTGGAAAATTAGCATAGCTCCTCAAAGGTTCCCATATTTGCGTACTTGTAATGCTGGAAGTAGTGATAAAAGATTTGCCAACCGCATAGATGGGTCATCAATGTGGCGCACATTTCTGTAATAGTACAGTATCTCCCTTTGGATTGCCTCCCGAATCCGACGAGATACAATGATGCATTCTTCTGACTGTCCTTCCAAACCTGCAATTTTTCAACAAAATTCCTTTTTTTTCATTTTTTTTTCAGCAATTTTCTCCGAAAAATTGGGTTCTGCGTCGCTTAAAATGTCTTCTGTGCAAACAAAACAGAATGCACAGAATTGCTACAGTGTACTGTACTTTCCCAATAACATCGTGGTTTTTCCTTTTCAAAGAGGTGAAATGTTGATCACAATTTTCGCAAATTTTTCTGACAAAAAAACCGATTTCAGCCGGTTTAATGAAGATAAAATAGTGTAAATCAAGAATCGCGTCAACTTCGGCGAGCGCATAATAATCTTGCAAAGCGAATTACAGACCTGTGTCAAAAAGTACTAAAGAGCACAAAGCGAAAAACTCGTAACTATCAACGTTGTCTCGTAACATGGGATCAGTCACATTTCTTCTATAATTGCTAAACGATGAGGCAAACATTCTGACAGCATCTTCCGATGACATAAGTTGTCTTCCATCTGGGTCGTAATAAAACGTTTCGGGATGGGAACAATCTATATAATCTCCAGAGGCAAGAATTATCACATCGTTCCTGTCTGAACAAAAAATTATGAATATATATTATAGGGGCACCGGACAGAAAGGGCGCGCTGTTCGCAATCTGGCCGAATTTCTAGGCCGCGAAGTAATTTTCCACTGAAAATGTGGCCTAACTTTTCAAACTCGGCCCCGAGGTCGCTCAATTTGCACTGCAAAAAGAGTTTCTCAACAGAGCGCCATTTCTATGCGGTGCCCCTATAATAGAGATAGATCATGTTTCACTGACTGTGAATGCATGCAAAATGGCCGCCTTGAAGAATAACAAAGGGGAGGAAAAAGTTGCGGAAAAGAATTTTCTGAAATTGACAATTGTGCTGCGCCGTGTAAAATTTTCCACGTTTACTTTCTGTTCTTTGGGAAGATCAGAAAAGCCGGGATAAGAGTTAAGTATCCAATCAGCTACCAAATCGCATTCTTTCGAACTAACTTCATTTGCTTCTTTATATGTTACCGCTTTTGGAACACGAGTCTGCAAACCGTATGTGAGAACTTTTTTGGGACTATGCAGAAGAGGTTTTTCAGTTTTTAAAACATCCTCTGCATAATCTATCACTGCCAAGTACCTGAAAAACACTAGCTCCTTGTTCATGATGAACAACTCTACGAACACTTTCTAATTTTGCGTAATTCGCTCCTAATGTATTTAAAATCGGCATCCCGCCTTCTTCGACGCTCTCCAGGGAAGCAAAGTTGGGCATGCTCCCAATAACCGATGCACCTGATGTTCCTGGGCTTTCGACATCTGATCCTCTTTTTCCATAAGCATCCCTATATTTCTGAACCGCTGAAAAAAAAATTTTAGCCTCGCGTCACTCCTACATTTTCAAACCTTCTTTTTTCATTCCGACTGCAATACATTTTCCAAAACGACAAGATCTACACATGCAACGGATGGCTTAAATTAAGACTTTGGACGTCAGCTCTATGAAGATTTTACTTACTTGAAACTATTTCGCATTTTCCGTTACCTCGGCAACGATATCCTTTGTTTAATGCAACGGATCTTCGAAAAAATGCTGCACATGCCCTGTATAACAGTGTTGGAACTGTTCGCATGAAATAGCTTTAAAAAAGGCTCACCTGCAGGCTTCAGCACCAAAGTGAATTCCATTACCAACTTCTCCACAAATACTACATGGTGGCTTCTCGGACTTTCCCTGAGTTGAATTCATACCTGTGAAAACCAGAAGTTGGAGAAGAACGTCACTTGACTCGAAATTCACAAATTCACAATTCATAGCAAACAGCTGTTTTCTCAACATTTTCATTTTCTCCGTCAATAAAATTTTACTGGACATTAAAAAAGTATGTAGTGACGGAAGAAGATAAATAAACAAACAACAAATATATCAGGGAAACCGTTGTTAATCTAGCTAATTCGCGTTTCTAACCGGCCCTAATTAGAGATGACTTCGTTTAAGGAAAGTTAATTAGATTATTAAGTCGTATAAAAACTGATAAAAGTAAGTAAAAATCCGTCTCTTCAGATTTTTACGGGTTTTTACCCGACTAAATAAGCCCATCAGAAAATAATTGAAAATCGATGGCTCGTGGAGAAAAGTGAAACAAACGCAGACAACTAGAGGACAGAGGACGGGTACAAACAGAGACATCGACAGGAAACAATAACCGTAGAACACGCGACAGGCAGGAATCTGTTTCGATATAACTCATTTATTCACTTCGACCACCTAGGAAAAAAAAGGGAAGACACTTAAAAGAGAAAAGAAAAATTTACAGGAGAAGAGAGGGATATACGGCATTTAATTCCGTGGGTACAACAATTTTGGGGCACAACAGGGTACAACCTATTTTGGGGTACAACTTTTTTAATTTTGGGGTACAACTTCCCCGATTTTAGGGAATAATTTCTGTCAATTATTTTAGGGTACAATAATTTTAGGGTACAACACTTTTAGGGCACAACTAGCACATAATTTCAGGGCACAACTTCTTACAATTTTGGGGCACAACAACATGATTTTAGGGTACAACACTTTTTTTTCTCATTTTTTTGTATTTTCTTGCATTTTACTACAAACCCATATTCTTTTTATATCAATATTTCGCTGATTTTTTTATTTCAATGACTCATCTCTTGTAAGAGAACCAGTCTTTCGACTCGCACAGCACGCGTGCTTTCTGCGGCAGTTCACACATTTTGTTTTCATCAAATCGTGAGGTTATTCAAAACCTTTTATTGCAAAAAAGCATATGACAGTAACAAGTTGAGCACAAATGAACGGATCTGAAATAAAGAGTAGTTAATCTGGGTTTTAAGAGGCAATGTCTGAGAAGTTCAAATACTGCAGGTCACTAAAAATTCAGAATGCTTCAATTTGTCCCATATTATACCAAATGGGTACTTACATAACAGTCATACATCAGACAAGTTTTGGTCCGGCTCCGTGGTCCCTAGTCCGATCACGGTCACAAAATAGGTCAAACCTGTAACTAATTTCAAAAAAATGCTAGCGTCTCAGACTCAACGCCATTGGATTCTTCGCATCTTTTTGAGTATATTTCATGTTGGCACCAAAAATTTGGCACCTCTCCTTTATGGAGAACAAAATTGGTTTGTGACATTTTTCAGAAAATGTTTCAGTTTTCTGCTCGTCCTGAAAAATTTTAACACTACATAGCCATGATTTTATTGCTGATTCTGAATCTAGACATTATTGTGCTTCTGCAAAAAAAAAGTTCACCCCGATCCCGATTGACATCAAGGGGTTTTTTGGCCGAAATTCACAAAATTTAGAGTACTTTTGCATGGAAAAATGTTCGCGAACTTGAGAAAAGTGCGTTTTCTCAATTTTCAAAGGGGCCTGATCGCGATATTTGTTGTTTTCGTATACTTTTAGGCATTCTTGATTTTTTTGAAGCATTTCGAAAATTAATTTTTTCTCGAACATTTTGTCATGACCCCCGGGTCGACGACTTGGTCTAATTTTTATTAATTTTCAAAATGCTTCCAAAAAATCGAGAATGCCTAAAAGTATACGAAAACAACAAAAATCGCAATCAGACCCCTTAGAAAATTGAGAAAACGCACTTTTCTCAAGTTCGCGAACATTTTTCCATGCAAAAGTACTCTAAATTTTGTGAATTTCGGCCAAAAAACCCCTTGATGTCAATTGGGATCGGGGTGAACTTTTTTTTTGCAGAAGCACAATAATGTCTAGATTCAGAATCAGCAATAAAATCATGGCTATGTAGTGTTAAAATTTTTCAGGACGAGCAGAAAACTGAAACATTTTCTGAAAAATGTCACAAACCAATTTTGTTCTCCATAAAGGAGAGGTGCCAAATTTTTTTGGTGCCAACATGAAATATACTCAAAAAGATGCGAAGAATCCAATGGCGTTGAGTCTGAGACGCTAGCATTTTTTTGAAATTAGTTACAGGTTTGACCTATTTTGTGACCGTGATCGGACTAGGGACCACGGAGCCGGACCAAAACTTGTCTGATGTATGACTGTTATGTAAGTACCCATTGGGTATAATATGGGACAAATTGAAGCATTCTGAATTTTTAGTGACCTGGTGTAATTAGCGAATTTCGAGGTTCTCAGACATTGCCTTTTAAATAGCTCTATTAATAAGGCGGGTTTATGAGAATAGGATCAAGGCTTCCCTTGGGAGCATATTTTGTGGTGCACTAAAACCTCTACTGCAAGAAAACAATAGACAATAGACTAGATTAACTACTCTTTATTTCAGATCCGTTCATTTGTGCTCAACTTGTTACTGTCATATGCTTTTTTGCAATAAAAGGTTTTGAATAACCTCACGATTTGATGAAAACAAAATGTGTGAACTGCCGCAGAAAGCACGCGTGCTGTGCGAGTCGAAAGACTGGTTCTCTTACAAGAGATGAGTCATTGAAATAAAAAAATCAGCGAAATATTGATATAAAAAAAGAATATGGGTTTGTAGTAAGATGCAAGAAAAATACAAAAAAATGAGAAAAAAAGTGTTGTACCCTAAAAATCATGTTGTTGTGCCCCAAAAATTGTAAGAAGTTGTGCCCTGAAATTATGTGCTAGTTGTGCCCTAAAAGTGTTGTACCCTAAAATTATTGTACCCTAAAATACTTGACAGAAATTATTCCCTAAAATCGGGGAAGTTGTACCCCAAAATTAAAAAAGTTGTACCCCAAAATAGGTTGTACCCTGTTGTGCCCCAAAATTGTTGTACCCTCGGAATTAAATGCCGGATATACTGCGTTTTGCGAAATTATTCATTTGTTCTTGCTCTTTTTATTCAGAAATTCTTTCATTCTTTAAAGTTGGAAAGATTTTCTCACAAAATTACATGACATGTGAAGCAGTGTTTGTCTAAAGGACGAAATGATGAAAATGCTGACTATTAGAACAACGAATACACATGAAAACAAAAACATATGTATATCCGTAATGGGGTTATTCAGGATAACATGTAGAACGGCCAATAAAGACCTTGTGCCGCAAACGCAGAAAAGGAAACAGTGTTCTGAATGTTAGATGTTAGCTATATTAGCAAACAAACATGACTGAAAATTACCGCATATAGAACCATAATACGTTTCCTATTCCGTAATATTATGCATATTATTAGATTGACTATTGTCGAGACCGTATCAACTGTCCACTCTAGCATCAATCTTTGAGAGTTTTCCACAGCGGTGTATGTAGGTTGGAAAACTTCATCAGACAGGATGGAATTCCATCCTGTCTGATCTATTGATCGCGGTTTGTGAATTGTTGCATCAGTTGACTTATAAACGTATGGGAAGAGATCGAAAAGAGTTCTATTCATTTATCAACTTAGAGCTTTTTGCAAATGAGAGTTAGTTTTGAGGTGATCCATTGGATAATGTTTTATGATACTAATACTAGTCTTGCACGTTGCGCAACTACGCAGAGGTTATCCGAAAGATGAACGACCACGAATGTTTCAAAAATGTTTTATTCAAGAAAGAATACGGATTTTTTTTGGAAATAAAGCATTGCACGTGCTGTTTAGTCATTGGGATTATCTTTCACATTCCTTGCACCCCGAAGATGTTCAGAAGGAACAAGGTAGTCGTCATCGTTTTCATCATGGCGAAGACGACCATGTTGTCCTGAAACAGGCTAATCGTTAGGCGTTTCTTGTAACGAGGATGTAAGATTCCCGGTCACATACCTAAGTACTGAGTTAACGCGGGAATCTGACAGTAGCAGTCATTAGTGGAATCGTTGAGAGGGATCAATTTATGTGGGCATTTGAAGAAAGCTTGCATATCCTGGATGGACTTCGATCCTATTTCACAACCTTCGTGATAACATCGATCACAACCGATTTGTTTTCTAAACTCACAGAAAAATAAACTGACTTCTAATACATTTTTGAGCAAGATCGACCGCGTCAGTTTCGCTACGTATCCAATACCGCACACAGAAAGGGCGCAAGTGAGTGAGTGCACAAAGCGACTCGTTGCCTAGACATTTCATGTTGCAAAACTTCGGCAAAACTTTTATATAACATGTGAATCTGGATCTCGCTTCAAAAGACCTACAACCAATTAAAACTTGGACGATATCAAAGAATAGACTGAATTTGAACTTCAAAATTAATATTCTTGAGAAAATACGAAAAACGAGGCTACGCCGAATCAGAACTAGTTGTGGTCGGCTGTTTTTTCTTGGCGCAATCGAGATTTGAGCCAGCAGACGGTTGGCGTGAAACTTGATTTGATCAAAATTTGAGCACTTATTTATCTAGCTAGGAGATTTATTAATCTAGCTAGACAATTTATTAATCTAATTAGGTGTCATATCAATCTTATTAGGCCGCCGTTAGATTAATAACGAAATGCCAGAGCGGGAGCATTTTACACACCGTTTGAATTTCCCGCCTGTATTCTGTCGTTACAACCTGCAAAAAAATTGCCTAATCCGCGTGACCCAAAAACAAAATATTTGTCCCTAAGACCAAACTTTTTCTCACTTTTTACTACATATAGCTATCGAAATTCTTAAATATGAGAGCCGGATTTTCAATTCACGGGCCGGCAAAGCATACGGAGGAGTGGAAATTGTGAAGCTGTAACTTCTCTCAGAAACCTTACATTTACCTCTGACCTGGCTCATTTTGAAGAACCCAGTAAACTTGAACTCTTATCAAAAAATCAGAGGTTCCTATGTTCGATTTCTGGAGATATATTGAAAAAACCGAAAGTCCTATGTATGAAAAGCCGGGCCGTGCAATTTCATCAGTTTCGCCGGGGACTAGAAAAAAAAGTCGATGGGCGGTTCGAGGCCGTGGACGTGGATTTTTTAGTACTGTAGAAAAAAACGTGGTCGACCAAAGTAAAAATTGGCTTAGAAAAACCTCATACAAAAGTTTTAAAAAGTACCTGCAAGGATCTGAATAAACTTTTATTTTCAACCCATCTTTAGTTCTATTACACCTAGGGCATATCTCCACGTCAACAGAAAAGTGGTCTAGTTTGTGAATATCCAAAAAAACTTGGACAGTCTGGAACGTATGGAAGCATTATTCTCTGAGATGCTCAGCAAGTCTTACCTTATCATAAGTGCTTCTCAATTTTGCGGTGACAATGTTCGAATATATGCTTTCCGTGATCATGTGTCTGTGACGTTCTAATGAATTTAGAGACAAACGCGACACGGAAGGTAGAAGAGCCATTTGCGTTTGAATATCAAAATTATGCTTTAGTGTCCAGTTAAGCCAACACAAAATGACAATTGGCTGACGATTACAACGCTGAAAATTTTCAATGATACAGTTTACATAAAGATTAGTTCACATTTTCTATGAGGTATTTTGAGCATCTCAGTTCTAATCCTTTTGCTTGAAACCTTCGTGATAACCGCATGCATGTCTCTATAGTTTCATCTAAATTTACACAACTTGATGCACTCAAAGAAGAACTAGTTGACCAGTAATATCTTTCAGAGCAGGGCAAGGGATGGAAGATTCCACAAACCATCTAAACTGTGTGGATGGTGATGGATCTGGCATACTCGACACGGAAACCTGGAAGAATTTTTTGCGTCATGAAAATAATGTTCTAGTTACATAATAGTCTTTGTTTGCTTCCTGTTTGCTGAGTAGTTCTTTGAAGAACACAGATGCATGACATAATTGATGTCGACACAACATGAATCGGGTTGACTAGAATTCAACAGACATGATAATGAATATTTTCACCAGTATACTCACATGAACTACGATATCAGCGCGACATCCTTCCAGATGACATTGAGAGTTCAAGTAATCCAACTGATTAATCACGGTAAACGAGCCATGTTTGCTCGGCGACTTTGATTTACTTTTCAGTGTTCTATTATTATAATTCCGTTTCATTTTTCTTGGCGAGTGAGATCGGGCTCTCATCAAGGGGCCTGGTCCATTATTGAAGTATTCAAGGTTCTCTCTGGTAGTCCTCATTACAATATCATCAACCTCTCGTGGTTCTGTATTCCAGCTATGTATCCCAAAAGATTCCTGAAAATGCGAACAGAAATTTATTCATTCTCCACGGCCCGGCTTTTCATACATAGGACTTTCGGTTTTTTCAATATATTTCCAGAAATCGAACATAGGGACCTCTGATTTTTCGATAAGAGCTTAATTTTACTGGGTTTTTCAAAATGAGCCAGGTCAGAGGTAAATGTAAGGTTTCTGAGAGAAGTTACAGCTTCATAATTTCCACTCCTCCGTATGCTTTGCCGGCCCGTGATTCTCTCTTGATTTTAATTTTGGAAAACGGGCACTCCATTTGGAAAACGAGCACTGTGATTAAAGTAAGTTTAATTAATAATTCAACAGTACTGTAGTACTGTCATCAGTGGCGCTCTTCTATTACAGTTACTCTAGGCTGGTCGAACAGGTGTCTGAAAAAAACAGGCGCCTGGTTTTCAGGAGCCTGATTTTTCAGGCGCAGGCGCCTGAAACCGCCTGTTCGACCAGCCTAACTTACTCTTATATTAGAGGTACACTTTTAAGACGGTATTTATGGTACCTGTATTCGACTTACATTGGAATGATTGCTGCTATTTTTGTTACTTTGACAAGGCGTAGGTGAGGGAGGCAACGGTAGGAAGCACACCGGTGCGTACGGAGGAGCATCCGCGTAATTACCCTTGAAAATATTTTTGGGGTATCCATTTGCAATCTTATCAGCTGGTTTCGGTTGAATTCGTTTTGGTGGAGATTTGGAACGATTTTCTACTAATTTTCTGAGGAAAGACGTCATGATGTTATGGGATTTGTCTCTGGCAAAAGAGTCGCCAATAACACAAGAACCACTTGTCGCTTCACTTCGAAATTCTTGACGGACGACAGCTGGTGTGATGAGAAGATAAAGAGAATCATGATTAATAACAGCGCTAGAATATGACCGCGGTGCGAGAATATTGAATTGTATTTTTTTTCAATACAAATACATTCTAGATATTCTCGTCCGCTTGCAGTTTTAACTTCAAATAAATATTTGCCGATGAGTATATTATTCTTTTTTTGCGGACCGGTCAATGCTGAATTGGTTATTTCTGTATAATCTCAATCGTTCTAGCACTGGTTTTTTCAAACCTAGCTATCATAAGCCTGTATCATGGTCTATAGAAGCCGCCTTCGATGGTCGTGCGCTTGGCCCACACCGTGGCCTAGGGGGTCGTGGAAGAGCGCCCATGGGTGCATCGTTAATCACCTGGTAGTGCATTATTGCTTCAAATGTACTGAAAAGTTGTGTAAAATCACATTTTGTTCTTAAATTTAAGTATAGCCTGAAGCATGGAAAACGATGAAAGGTCCAAGTGTGAAATTCAACAAAAAGGTATATCTTGCTTGGAACTACCTCACAACACTTTATCGGAGCATGCGATTGCAGCTGAATTGTGAGTAATTTGAGTAATAAATAGAACATTCGCAATTTCAGTACGGAAGTTTGTCGGTCACCCGTCGAGGGTGTATTCGTCGTTCCAAGTTCAAAAAGCAAATATGGTAGAACAAAACAATGAAATTTTCTCATAATTGAAAAAACATTCAGTGTGGAATGGAGTAGTTTTCGTGAAGAAAGGACTGTTTGGAGGAGGAATATTCCGATTCTGTCTGCTCATACCTGAAGAATATCCAAATACTGTTGTTACCCCAACTATTGTATTCAGAAAAACAATATTTCATCCATTGATTGATGCAAAAACTAAAGTTCTCGATTTGTCCCTGTCATTCCCTGATGGCTGGAAAAGCGACAAACACAGTATTAGAAGAGTCCTGACAGTATTACCGGTATTTTCTATTGCAATACTATTAAAACTCGTTGTATTCTCATTACAGAGGATATTTCTTTCGTTCGAATTTAGAAGTGATAACTACGTTAATAAACTAGCCGCTCTTCTTTATAAAGAAAGCCGAAGGAAATTTGCCGATAAAGTATTCGAAGATGTGGAAACAAGCAGAGCAGAAGTGTACTCGGAAATTTTATCAGATAAGGATGATAAAAGCTCTATCAAGTAAGATCATAATTCTCATCATTTTTTTATTATAGGGACATTTCTCCGAAATCGCCCTCTGTTTCTAATCGCTCAGACAAAGCAATTCGAATCTAATTAGAACAAATTAGATAAAACCACGTCTAATTAGATGATTTTAAGTAGTTTCTAACGCATCCTTTTTAGATTCGCAAAAAAAAAACCAAGTCTAATTATAGTATTTTTAGATCGAATGCTAGTCTAATTAGATTCATAAACGGGTTTTCACATCTAATTAGACAAATTGCGAATCTAATTAGATGATTTTAGTTTTTTTAGTTGATTTCGGGGGTACCCCTGCAGAATGGTACCCCCGTAGCATGCTTTTGTACGCTAAAATCGTTTCTACCCCCTTGTAGCCCGTTTTTTAAACACGTTTTTAAAAAAAAATAAAACGTTTTTAAACAGACTGCTACCGTGGGACAATAGAACACATGAACCTGTGAAGAGCGTGATGATAGATATGGAAAAAGGTAATGCAACTGCCGCCGAATTTCGAAGATTGCAATTTTGTACAACACGTGAATTGAAATTAAAAGAAACGGTCGGAAGGAGTTTTCCTAAATTTTATTCTTGGTTTGATCCACATCAAATGACAATTGTAACTCGATATGTCACAACGACAGGCGAGGTATTTGACGTATAAAAATGTTTTACATTAAACTTTGAATTTCAGGAAAAGTCTCTAATTGCAATATGTTTTGCTGAAAAGGATCGGCAGAAACATGGAATTGACCTTTTGGACCTTAGCGTGATTGTTGTGCATGATTGTCAATGAGAAAGTTACATTACATATTGAAGTCATACTAGAAGTTCAGCAGTGTAATTTATTATGAATATTGAGTAAATTCCAGTGCCCGTCCACCCTTTCAACTTGCTGGTCCCTCCTAAAAATTGATTGCGAGGTACAATGAAACTGAGGCAAACTGTCTTTAATTACAATCGCGGCATAAACACGCTCTGTTGAAATTGTCTGCCTTCCGCTCCTGCGTCAATTGGAAACAGAAAGTTCATCCAGAATTGAAATTAATTGCTAAAATACACTTAACATGCATTTCTACCGCGAATTTGGCGGTTTTTTGAATTTTTAAATACTTGTACTGAATTGGTTTAGAAATGTCGCGGTTTCGAAATGTCTGGTTTCCAGATGTCGCGGTTTCTAAATATCGCGGTTTCGAAATGTCTGGTTTCGAAATGTCGCGGTTTCGAAATGTCCGGTTTCCAAATGTCCGGTTTCCAAATGTCCGGTTTCCAAATGTCCCGGAGCCCTGTTTTATATATAAGAAAGATAATGAGATAAACGTTTAAAGTGACGCTGTATAGAGCATAAATGATCATGTGAATAGTCAGCATTTCGGGCACAAGACGAGAAAAATTTCGAAGAGAGCAGACAATGGAGTTTTGAAGATTCAATTACTTTTGAACTTATGATGCACCCCTTGGTCAAATGAACTAAAAAATATTACACCGTTCGAGATAATTGATAATTAAGATTTAAAAAATTAAGCTTGTGGTTCAGTCAAAACGTTTCTAGGTTTTCAAAGGACGCTGACAGAACTCGATAAGCTCTGCGATTGTCTTGAATGCGTTGTATGGATTGCTTTTTTCTTCCCTACTGTAGGCGATTGTTTGTTCGAAAATTGATTCGTTTCTATGATCAGGAGCAATAAGATAGGGAAGATGGTCCATAAGCTTTTCCCCTTGATTAGCCAGAGCTTTCTGAAACATAAAAATATTTTCCTGAATCTAAAAAAAATAATATTTTATCTAATTGAAACCTGGCTGAAACTCACATTTTCAAAACCCATTATTAGGTCTGATTCACGCTCGAAAATTGCATGTTCCGTTCGTGCACATTTCGGAATACACAGTACTTTCCCAGATTTTTTCATCAGGTTCCACTGCCCTGTGGGATATGCTCCATGGGCTATTAACATATGTTTCAAAGTGAGAGTGTTATGAACCTCCATTAAATTTCCATTGTGGTCTAGAAATAAAGGAAAGTACGTTGGACGTTTTGATATCAAAAACATACTCAAGTAAAACCACTGGAAGTTCGCAGATTCATAATGGTTCTTTTTGAAAAATTGACGGATGTTTTCAAATGTGTTGTTTCCGGTATATGTGAAAGTGCACTGACGGACAATTCCAGTCACCCCAAAATAGATTTCCACAGTGAACTTGAAATTGCAAGTGATTTCAGATTTAAGCAACTTGCGGGCAATGTCTGAAACATAAAGTATTGTTGATTAATTCAGTATTGCATTACCGATAGGGTATTCGTGAACCAGTGAACTTGAACTTAATGGCATAATTATGACATTCTTTTTTGATACTCCTTCACTCTTTTTGTTTTCAGCTATTGCATCAGGAGAATGTTTCTGTCCGAAATATAAATTATTTGTCTCAATAACTTCGACACCCCCGTTGATAAATGGTTTGGAGAAATCCATGGAACCTCCAATTCGCTCCTCCTTTCTAGTGAATGGTTTCTCTGGTTTTTGTGATGCAAATGGACTGTTCTGAAGTACAAGAAGTTAACTGCGTTATATACTGCTGACAAGTTACTTTGCTTTTTATTTCGTCCGATAGTACTGTTGATTCGATTATCTCTTTCGATTTCTGAGTTGCATAATCATTCAAGGACTTCATGAATTCTTTGTCATTTTGCAGATCTGTAGTACTTCGTTGTTAAACTGCAAAATAACCTTTTTTACCCTGGTTATTCTTCTGTCTTTGAATCTCTTCTGATTGGAGTACAATTTTCTGGAGGTCGATGTTTGAAAGTTTCACATCACCAATATGTATGAAGCGTTCTCCAATCGTAGGAGCCTCAGGATCTTCACTGTTCAAAGTCTCAAACTATTTTATCCAGAAAACCTTTCTTCTTTCAACTAACCTTTTCGTTATTTCTCGCCGGTTTCATACTAACCTTTTTGGTATGGTAGTAACCTAAAGTTAATGGGGTTATTCAGGCTGTGAAAAAAGTGATTGTTTTCCGTTTTTTCCGTTTTTTTACGTCAAAAAATCCAATTCAGCGATGTAAAAAAACGAAAAAAACGGAAAACAAACATACGCTGAATAGCCCCATAACCCCGATCATTTTCGAATATGAAAAATATGAAGCTTAATAATATCTACATAAAAACAACAAAAAATGAACTGCGTTTATTAGCATGAGCACTAAATTTGGGGAAAAAGAAGAAAGTTAGCTAAGTCTCAAAAAAATTGCATGCAATACTTCATCTCAAAGACAGCAGTGTAGAGTTGCGTGGTTGTGTGTTCATACACCACACGACCATTGCGTCCCCACAGGTGATTCGTAATGGGTCTATTGAGAACTCGGAGCGGGTTCTTCAATAGGCGCATGATAGACCGATCACGATAATTTCATGCTCAATAGACCTATCGCGAGAACTTTTTAGAGTAAATAGGCCTATGATAGGCCTATCATATGCGTATTCGGGAATTTTCGCGATAGACGTATTGTAGGCAAATTTTCTTCGCGATTGGCTCATGATAGGCATATTATAGACCTACGTTCTCAATATACCGATCGCGAATCACCTGTGCCCCATAGAATGCGCTACCCAAAGCTCAAATGATTCTATGGCACGGGGTCGTGGCGGGAACATTGAAAATTTCGTATATACCAGGTTCCCCTCATTTTTTCTTTTGTTTTTGTTGTGTTGATGATAATACTTGATCGGGTTATAGAATTTATTCAAATAATTGCAAACAATTAAAAATATATATACAAAACAAAATATACTGTATGCCATGCTGCATGTCTATGTGCTGGCGTACATGCTGCATGCATTCGAGTCGTGATTCCAGATAGTCCGGACACCACCTTCTCGATTTTGCCAATGCAAGGCAGGATTCTTTCGTAATGCAGTTCGACAGTGTGTGACGCAAACGGATTGTGACGTGGCAGCAACAAAATATTATAAAAACATTTGATAAATATGGTTTAGTATGTGATTTTTTTTGAATCAGTTTTTCCATCTGTCATTGTGTTTTTTTCCAATTTGGCAGCCTTTCTTCTGTCTTTTTTGATATTCGCACAGCAGTAAGAAAGGTGAACCGGACAAAACCAAGAGATGGTCGAACTAGCGACTCCGTCTGCCGCAGGCGCGCGCTGTCACCACAAAAATTTAAAAAAAAATCATATTTTCGGTTGAAAAAAAATTCCGGACCGCTGAACACCTGCGTTTTCAATGATAAAAAAGTAAATGATCGAAAGTCTCTTGTTCTTGTTTTGAAATTCAGAAATGTGGGCGAGAAACTACGCAACGAAACAACAGTTTGAAAAAACCATTGTTCGAGAAATTATCCATTCAAAAGGTTCTAGTTGACACTTTCGACATATTCAGACTAAAATGTGTTTCTTGCTAGGTGCTTTAATTTTTTTCTATTCGAATATACATTGTGACTCGCAAACAATTGAATACATCGCTGCTGCTGCGAATCCTCCGCATGGATGCCCCAATTACGGTCTCTGCACTGATGTCACCACTACATTAGTTAGTGAAACAAACGTTTCTACTGTATATCAATACGGATGTGCTTCCGATAATTGTGTTTGCGTTGATGGAGTAACTAACACATCAACTCCATGTGATACAAGTATGATCCGAAAAGTAAAAATTCACGGCGAGTTGAAGCGTATGTGCCGCAAGTGCTCTCTATTGAACAACTTACTACGTATCGCCTGGCACTGTGCCAGCCACGCAAATGAATAGCTTCGCAGCCAATTCAAACGAGCGATTTTTCCCGCGAAATTTAAATGTATTTTTGTACATACGCTTCAGCACGCATTGGCAATTTAAAATAAAAAAGTTTCATTTTATAGTTGTCGACCAATGCAAAGATGATCCATGCGGTTCGAATACATATTTCACTTGTATGACCGGAATAAACAGCTTCACCTGTACTTGTCAGACCGGATACACGGGAGCCGATTGCAGCACGGGTATCATTCGCATTTTTCGGCAAACACTGCATTTTCTGATAAATCGTTTTGAATCTAGTTAAGATAATTTCATTAATGAATTGAATAACGCTTAATTCGATTCAAAAAGTTTCAAAACTTCTGCCGCAAAAGTCTAGCAATCGCTCTCTACCGCTCTTCACTGCTACTAATACCGACTAATCTTCTTACCTCCCGAGTCCGGACGCAGCTCGACCTTTACGCGTCCTAAAACGTCACTGCCACTTTTCCTTTCCACGCAATTGTGAAATTCGCTTTTCGCTGCAGGAGGCAACAAGATTAATTTGATAGTAATAGTGATTGCGCATGACGGCTGACGGCTTCTGCTGGCGCTTGCCCGTTGTCTCCTGTGAGAGTGGTAAAGAGTGGAATGGTCTAAAATAGGATATTAAAGATTTCGCCTACCTCGGTGAACCTGAGTATCGGATTCAGAAACCGGTTCTGCTTGCTCTGCTTCTCCTTGCTTAAATGGTGCGACATGCAGTTCCAACTCATCTTCATCTTACAGTTGCATATGCGTCAATGGATATATTGGTGACAATTGCGAATGTTTGTAATAGTGAGGAGAAATTTCCACAAATCTTAGTTGATTTAGACAAAGACTTGTGCTATGGAGTTAACTGTAATAGTGGAAATTGTTCTATGATTTTGGAAAATTCTAATTATTATTGCAAATGTGAAGCTGGTTTCCAAGGAACTCAATGTGAATATTCCAACGATATCTCCAGTTAATACAGAATTATACTTAAATTGAAAAACTAAAAAATGTTGAAGCACCACCAACACAGGACGGATGTTATTATTATGATACTATTTCGATTGGTGCAACTACAACAAAATTTAGTGATTCAAAGATGACGGTTGAAAAATGCAATGATTATGCTTCAAGTTTAACAGTTACAGTATCTTATTTGAGTTTGTAGCGAAATCATCTATTTTTTATTATAATACATTTTAAGCAATATGTGGTTCATGGTGCATAGTTAGGGACCGCAACGGGTTTCGCAAAACTCCGAATTTCCGCAAAATTCTTGTTGGAATGTGTTCCCCTACTCTATATGAGTACGCTCCCAACTTTTTTCTCGAAAATTTTCGGTACATCCCGAGTTACACCCCTTCAAAGTTGGCCTGTTTTCTCCCCGGTCGGCGGTCGAGGAGGGGGCGGAGCTTTGCCAGCAAGTGCGCCGCGCGCGGTTTTTGTCCTTTTCTGACGGACCAAGCCAAATATGCAACAAAAAAAATGAACAGACATGATGTTCTTAAAAAGCTAAACAACTTTCGAGGACAAAAGTTTTGAACCCGGCACCTCCAGACTGCCGAGCGATCACTTTGCCACTGCGCCAACCGGGCGGAGGCGCGCCCACCGCCATTGGCGTAGAGAAGCTCGCTGTGCGCGGCCCTTTCCAGCTGCGAAATTAGTGCCTTTGCGGGCCGAAATCCATAACATAACTGACTGTAACTTTTTTCGGGTACTAGGTAGATGAGAAAGTTTAACATGGATTGGTCGGAAATTTGATGCTGAATCCGATTCTGTAAAAATTAGCCGCGTGTAAGGTACCTGTGACCCTCAAATCTCCCGAAAACTACAATTTCGGCCGATTGGGCCCTACTCAAACGAGCACAAATCTGGTCCTAGTGGGTCTAGAGCTCTGAAAATTTATATTTGGGTTCTCATTGACTTTATCTATGGATTCCAAAAATAAAAAAGTATGGTCATCGCTGAAAATTTTCCGTTAACTTTTCTGGCAGTTTGAGGATCTGTAAAAACTTTCGGGTACTAGGGAGCCCGAATCTGACTTCAAAAACGGATTCCCCATCCCTTAAACTGTCGGAAACAGTTAAAAGTAGGCGCGTGTAGCCATAAACTTGGCCACACAGGCTCTCAGACTGACTTCCATTTTCGTTTTCGCGGTTTTTCAAGAGAACGGTACGTTTTCACGTGAAATGGAGTTGTTCATTGGATTCAGCATGGTCGATTACATAAAGTAAAACTTTTTGGGTATGGTACTTCATTTGGGGACCTCGGTACAGACCGTCAAACACGCGCGCGCGAAAATCGGGAGAAAATTCGTCAGGCCACGCCCCCTTTGTTGCGCCCCCTATGCATAGTGACGACTTCTCCAGTTGTGAATACCTCTGTCTCGTCATTGGATAGTGATTGTCAAAAGAAATGCGGAGGAAACAGTTCTGAGCTCTGTGGAAAGTTGAACTCTCGTTGCATCGTTTATGAAGTGGGGACTACAGGTTTGGCTTTGCTTTTTAATACGGTCGTTAGTCCCAGAGGTGGGGGTCACAGAATCAGACAGGAAGTTGACACCTTACTCAGAAATATACAGTAAATGTGACCTTGGAGAGCCAGATTCTTGAATTCAGGAATTCGAAAAATAGTCAATGGGCGGTGCGAGATCGTGGATTTTTCTAGTCCCGTAATAAATAAACAATGCGGTGGTCGACGGTGAACGTAGACTCATTTTTTCAACAAAAAAAAACAACAGTAACCTCCGAGCTCGGCCACCTACGTTTGACGAAAATTCCGATTGGGTTGAAAACACGACTTTGTGATAATTTTGCTGGTTTCTCAACTGCTTTCTACAAATTTTCGCGATACTCAGTATTCCTGAATGCTTTTATTCGATATCGAATAGATAATTAGCAGAATGGGACAAAAATCGTGTTGTTTGAGATTCTCAACCAAGTGTCGGCAATTTGGAGGATCCAGAAGGGGAGAAGCTTGGCAGTTACGGTTGTGCCACACCATGCAAAGAAAACAATAACTCCGTAACAGAAAGTCGATGCCTGATTTACAGAACAAGACCCTGATCCGTGCCAGAATACCACCCTCTGTAACGCAGATGTTGGAAACGGAAACTGCGTGAACTTGCGTGAGTCCGATGGCATTGGGTATGAATGTTTATGTGGTGCTCTATTCACTGGGACCGACTGTGAGACTGCTGTTGATCCTGCTTGTTCTCCAAACCCTTGCGTAAACGGAACGTGTGTGCTGAATTCTCAATTTAACACTTACACTTGTGATTGTGACGAAGGTTTCATTGGCTCAGATTGTCAATGTGGGTTCACAGTAGATGTCAGAGAAATAAAATATTTTGATGTAACAGATGAAGAGACTTGTACTTCTACTACTTGTCTCTACGGTGGAAGCTGCGAAGAAACTAGTAATGGAGGCTATAAATGTGACTGCTTGAGTCTTTACGCCGGACAGCGTTGTGATGGTTCTCAAAATTATCGTAATCCAAAATACTTCACCTAATATTTAGAAATTAATCGCTGTAACTATGGAGATCCATGTGTTTACGGTCAGTGCACAACTACTGTAAATGGGATAACTCCCGATTTTGAGTGTTCATGTGAAGCAGGATGGTCCGGAGTCCATTGTGATACAAGTGTTTCCAATTTCAATTGCTCATTCAAATCAAAGTCCTTTCAGTGATTGATTATTGTGAACCGAACCCATGTGACTACAACAGTACATGTACTCCATTCTTTAAAGGATATAATTGTACTTGTTTGACCGGACTGACTGGAACCAATTGCAGCACAAGTTTGTTCATTTCCACACGACATGCTGAAACTGAAACGGATGAGCAAAAAATAAATTCGAATTTTGAGGGAAAAATCGGTTTCTGTTTTTTGCTTGGCCGCTACGGTTGACAACGGTGGTCCGCAGAAACCACGAAAAAAATACAAAAAAAATGCTCAATTTGCACTGCAATATCATCACTTCATCGCTCCTGCCTCCTGAGAAAAGCCCGCGAAGTTCAAATGGGGCCCCGCCCCTTCAGCGTTCAATTCTTGCAAGTAGCGCGCGCAGTTTTCGCAACGCTGCCGCACACATTGCTCTGTACACCGAATTCTCGAAAATTAAAGCAGAAAATTATATTTTTTTGTTATTAAAACCTCAGAAAGAAAACACTAAAAACCGACAACAAATGTTTTTTCACTTGTTTTTTCACTGTCGAACTGAAGAGCAAAATGCGTGCGGCACCGTTGCGAAAACTGCGCGCGCTACTTGCAAGAATTGAACGCTGAAGGGGCGGGGCCCTTTTGAACTTCGCGGGCTTTTCTCAGGGGCAGGAGCAGTGATATGATAAGAGCTTCTCAACAGAGCGCCATTTCTGTGCGGTGCCCGCGGTGCCCCTATAATAGGATTTTGAAAAAATTCTAATCAAATTGTAATGGAATCTTTCAACTCAGACAGCTCTGTACTTACGAAATGCCAACATTTATCAAGATTGAAAAAAAAATCTGATTTTCATTTGATGTTTTTTTCAGCCTGTATTTTGTATCTTTCAGTTAGGGATGCAGAAAAGGCGCCTGTTTTTCAGCGCAAAAACGCCTGTTTTCGCAGGAGTCTGCAGGCGCCTGTTTTGCATCCCTACTTTCAGTAATTGATTTATGCGTTGGTCAGTGGGTTAATGGAGTTTGGTTGAAAACTCCTTGTAATTCGAAAGATGATGCAGCCAACTGTACAAAAGGAATAAACACATTTACATGTAGCTGTAGTGACAAATGGACCGATGCATTGTGCGATTTGAGTTAGTTACAGATGCTTGCATCGACTTTCAGAATAAGATACTTCTAGATATTTTAATCAAGGATGTTCTGATGGCCATTTACGGATACGTTGACTTGAATATGATTTCGGTAGCCCATGAAAAATTTTATTCTTTAAGAAAACGTGTTTTTCTCAGCTTTTGAATGATTTGATGCAAAACCCATCAGAGATCAAGGACATGGTTCCATTCATTACCGGGTTATTAACGGATAATGAAAGATCTGATCTAAGTTGGGATGTAGGTGATCTTTTCAATTGGGTGTCGTTTGAAGACCAAAGGCTCGATTTAAAGTTTGCCCGAAAGTGTTACCACATTACTTATAATATTTCATTCAGTACTAATATCTATAAATGGAATGATGTTGTGTTGGGAAACTGCTTTACTTTCAATCACCGCGATCAAAACTTCACGTACCTCATGAGAACTTCTGGACGACATGGAGGTTTGAACATGTTTTTTTCAACTATTATGCGGCTATTCAGCGTATTTTGTTTTCCGTTTTTTTTACATCGCTGAATTGGGTTTTTTGAGGTCAAAAGACGAAAAAAAATTTGTTTTTCACAGCCTGAATAGCCCCATTATGGCGGTATTTCACTGCAATCGCGCTCTGTTGCGAAACTCTTTTTGCTGTTACTTCGCGGCCTAGAAATTCTGCCAGATTGCGAACAGAGCGCGATTGCAAAGGAATACCGCGACAATATTTATATTTTCTTTCGAAGGTATTCTTGCTTTTATGAAAACTAGACAAGACGAGTATGCCCCATGGTACGATACAGCTGCCATCAACGTATTCATACACAATCGAGAAGAGTACGTGTTTTCGGAATCCGTTCGATATAACGCTGAACCTAATGCCGAATCAACTATCAATATATTCACGGTTGACATAAAAAAAATAGAGATAAAAATTTATCAGAAAACTTTAGACTCGTTACACCCGCCTAGGTGGAAGATATGGAAAGTGTGTCAGGGCAACATCTGAAGTAAAAAATTACTACTATCCTGGATCTTATACAACAGACGTAAATTCAACAGCGTGAACTGAAGAGATTACAGTTTATAGGGCTGCTTGAGGACTTGTTATCAAGACATGATCCAGAAAGCTTGCGGCTGTATGGATCCAAGATACCCTAAAGCTAACAATGCCACATCGTGCCAATTGTCAGAGCGAAGTTGTGTAACAGATGCATCAGACAGTGCTGGAGATCCTTCGACCTGGTTGACTTGTATCTGCCCACTTCCTTGCTCGAATCAAGAATATTCAGTGACTTGGAATAAATCTACTTTCGTATCCATGGTAGGGCCATACTCGGTGTCTCACTGTAATTTTGAAATTAGAAACAATATTCTAAATAATTTGATATTTACAGCCTGTGAGTTGCTCGGTGACAAGTGATGCTCAAGCGTGCCAGTCACAGTACGTGGACAACTTGAGGATTTCAATTGTACTGCCCCAACTTGACTTCAAGATTTACGCGGAAACAGCAGCAATGGACGTGGGTTATTCTTTCTCTTCAACTTGCCTTCTATGAAATTTTTTGGAAAATAACTTTTCACTAATAGTAAGTACAGTTCAACATCTTAGACACTCGTCACCGGGCGGGCGTTTTTTTACTCCAAACTCGCGAAAAAATTCTTGGCCACGTAAACGAAGAATCATGCTTGGGTCACAGACCGAATTTTTTGACACTGACGGATTTTAGACTACGCGACCGAACTTAATAATTATTCAAATTTTCTCGTCGTTTTCGGCTGCGTAGCGACTCAGTCGCCTTTTTACAATTGAAATTTAAAACGTGGCATGGCGCCAACTGCGCCGCAGCTCACGCGACGCGTGTGATTCTGCTATTATAGGGGCACCGCACAGAAATGGCGCTCTGCTGAGAAATCTTTTTTTGCAGTGCAAATTGAGCGACCTCGGGGCCGAGTTTGAAAAGTTAGGCCACGTTTTCAGTGGAAAATTACTTCGCGGCCTAGAAATTCGGCCAGATTGCGAACAGCGCACCCTTTCTGTCCGGTGCCTCTATAATAACGTAGCCTTTGGATTGCCGTGTTTTCCATTTAGGCCTCTTTTTATTAAAAGTGGTTCTCAAAAGCATACTTGCAAAACAGCCTCATTTCGGGCCTTCACGGGCCGTGTCGTGAGTCTAACTGTTGGGTGCAGACCCACAAGTTTAAAACCGTAAGCAACTGTGTGGCGCGAGCTTACACACGGCGCGCGTTCTCTGCGTCTCTCTCTCACACATCAATCTGAATTGTCATCATTTCAGTTGGATAGATTTTCCCCGACCTTACACAGTTTTCGGCTGTATTTTAAGAATCTTAAAAATAAATAGTAATAGAGTAATTTGTGTTTTGCCTGACGAGGGAATGGCCCGCACTTACCTTGGGCTTTTGGAATGGGACCTATATGATTCGAAAGACACGGGCCGGCAAAGCATACGGAGGAGTGGAAATTATGAAGCTGTAACTTCTCTCAGAAACCTTACATTTACCTCTGACCTGGCTCATTTTGAAAAACCCAGTAAAATTAAGCTCTTATCGAAAAATCAGAGGTCCCTATGTTCGATTTCTGGAAATATATTGAAAAAACCGAAAGTCCTATGTATGAAAAGCCGGGCCGTGAAAGAGAATTTCACGGAGAATCCGAATCTACTCTCCATTTTTGCTAAAAAGCACTGGCTGCCGAGAAAATCTGCCTGTTTCTGCCGCATTTTCTAGCAAGTTCATCTTCGGTGACCTGTATCTCAAGAACCACGCGTCCGTTGCAAAAGTAAACTAGTAAGTTAACGCAAATTATCTCGTGAATAACTTTGTAGTTGATCGTCTATTTAAAAAAAAAATTAGTTTTCTAGTTATCGTCGCTTTTTTCTTGTCGCTCTAAAAAACCAGTTCATAACTCGAAAACTAATTTTTTTTAAATAGACGATCAACTACAAAGTTATTCACGAGATAATTTGCGTTAACTTACTAGTTTACCACTTTTGCAACGGACGCGTGGTTCTTGAGATACAGGTCGCCGAAGATGAACTTGCTAGAAAATGTGGCAGAAACAGGCAGATTTTCTCGCCAGCCAGTGCTTTTTAGCAAAAATGGAGAGCAGATTTGGATTCTTCGTGAAATTCTCGTCCGAATCATATAGGTCCCATTCCAAAAGCCCAAGGTAAGTGCGGGCCATTCCCTAGTGAGAACACAACACTAACTAAGGAAGTACTCTGGCAATTCGATATTAATCCAATTAGAAAGTTACTGATCTAAACGCGACCTAATTAGATTTGACTGTTTTTTCTTGGCGCAATCGAGATTTGAGCCAGCAGACGGTTGGCGTGAAACTTGATTTGAGCACATATCAATCTAATTAGAAGATTTATTAATCTAGCTAGACAATTTATTAATCTAATGAGGTGTCATATCAATCTTATTAGGCCGCCGTATAACTCGAGTAGACTGCGATTTGATTAATAACGAAATGCCAGAAAGTATACTTTATGAGTACCATTCGGAAATGTCTGAAAAAAATTAGAATGATACTACGAAAATATTGGGAACATCTTCCTTTTTTATAGTGAAAACCTATTTAATATTGATATTTAACGAGATTTTTTCAGTTCAACAAGTTCCTTTCACAGCTAGGTGGACAACTTGGAGTTCTGATGGGTATAAATGTAGTTACTTTCATTGAATGTGCTTTTTTATCTGTTGGATTGGCAATGATTTGTTGTAAAAAATATGAAAAATAAAAAAACATTTGAATGTTATCAAACAATGCATTTTTTTCCTTTCTCTCATAGTCTCCTCTGGCAATTCGATATTAATCTAATTAGAAAGTTACTGATCTAAACGCGACCTAATTAGATTGGACTGTTTTTTCTTGGCGCAATCGAGATTTGAGCCAGCAGACGGTTGGCGTGAAACTTAGGCTTAGGCTTAGGCTTCGGCGAAGGCGTAAGCCTTCGTCATTTGGTCTTAGCTTCAAAAAGTAAAACTCCAAAACCCCTCATATCATATACCATTCGAAAGCTCGTCAAATTTCACGATTTTTCACTTTGCCAGATTTTTGATATCGGGCTCGGCTCGGGAGTTATGCTCATTTTCAGACAAATCTGGAAATCACAAAAAACGTCATAACTCGGCTCAAACTTAACCGTCAGCGAGCGGATTTCGATGGTAGGTGTGGCCAACAAAGGCGCATCCGCCCATATTTTTTCCGGAATTTTGCCACTTCACGCAACCCGACAATATCGGTTTGAAATTTTGACCCGCTGCA